CCAAGATCCTTCGTGGTTCCTTTGGAGCCATTCAAGAACAAAGTATTTAAGCCCAGGAGACAAGGTCCCGGCAAGAGGAGCTTGTCAGGAAGGCCAACCAAGGCATTTCAAGGAACTTACCGCGACGCGCCGCGCGTCCCGGCAAGGCCCGGTGAGCGACAAGCTTCCGGACCCGACAAGGCAACGGCCGCGGCAAGGCTCTTGCCGCGGCAGGCGGCCACTCTGTGCCCACGCTCCAGCGCATCCACCAACGTGTCGCTCTGGGGGCCTTTCCAGGCGCGCATGGCAGGAGGCTGTGCAGCCAGCGGTGCACGGTGGCATGCGAAGCTGACAAGATCGCCATCGTGGCGAGCGGTGGCGCCCCTGATGGTCCTTTTCTGCACTGTTTGGGTTACACAGACGGGCATTTAATGCCCTTGTCCCCTGCCGTCAGGGTTAGGTAGGAAACAATGTACAAGTAACTGTACCAACCACCTCTCTTTTTACATTTGTACCCTTGTTTACGTTGCCACCTGTCGGTGACCCCTTGAGCATATAAAAGGAGGCCCATGCGCAACGTAGAGGGGGTTCGGATGATTCGGAAGCCAGAAAAACACTCAGCTCTCTCGAGCAAGAACACAATACAATCAGACAAGCAGCAGTAGGAGTATTATCTCTCCGGAGAGCTCCAAAGCTGGGTAAACTGCTCGTGTGCTTCGCCTCGATCTGCTCTTCGTGCGACCTCCGCCCCCCGCCGAACCGAAAGGGGCCACGGTCCGCCGGCCCCATAGGTGTTCGTGGATCAGTTTCCCCGACAGGCGCATTCGGTACCTTCTCTGGAAGAGGTGCGTTGCATATGTTGGATTCTCCGTGAAGTAGTCTTGCATCAATATCTCGTTCCCAAGATGGCGATTCTGAGGAATGCAAAGACGCCCGATGGTCGATCCTCGCCGCCTCTTTCAGTTCTCGTCTTCGTGCTCCTTGACGGCAAGAGCCATCACACTTTGAAAGCATCATCTCAACATCCGAGTCGTCCGAATCAGACGAATTGGAGAGCAAAAACTTCTCGCACGGGCTCAATTCCATCTACATGAACAAGAAGCGCACGCCGCGTCAAACAAGTATGTGGAGCGCTCGACACGAAGCACAAACAAACACTAACCGGCAACTCATGGGGCGGGTGATCCCGGGCGGCAACGAGGGGCGGCTCAAGGGCGGTTGATCCCCGGAGGCGACAGCGACAAGGGGCGGCTCTTCTGCCGGATCCGGGGGGGGCGGTGCAGTGTATCGGTGGTGGACGGTGAGGGACGCCCCCGCGGCGCGATTTCGCCCGCAGATTTGGACGGAATTGGCGGCAACGGACGGGCGGAACCTATGGCGGGCGGCGGCGGAAGGAGGTGGGGAAAGGGGCGCGGGGTGAAATGTCCCTTCCGCCAACCGCTTCACTATGATACGAGGCACCATAGGGCCGAGGCGGAAACCCGCGTATTCGCGGGTTGGGGCCGAGGTTTTGCCGCACCCCTCAAAAAAATTTGCGGCCCAGCCGCGTTTGCGGTGTTTGTTCGGGCGGGATTTTCTGTGCCGACCCGCATTTTGGCGGTTATTTTGCGGGCCGGGGCTTTTTGCGGGGTCTGCTAGAGTTGCTCTTTTGCTCATCCAAAAGTCTTCGCTCCTGCCTCTTGCGACCTCCGAGTTAGTGTTTCCTTGCCTCTCGCCAGTGTCGTCGCCGGTTCGCCTCGTCTCCTATGGTCCTTGGATTATGGAGGCGCGGTGGATCCCGGCCCTTGCCGGCGGGAGGGCTCCGTTTTTAGTTGTTTTGTTAGGGTTTGTGCCATGCTCAGGAAGACGAGGCGGAGGCAACTTCTTGAAGGTGGAATAAGGTCCTCCTCGCCTAGCCCCCGTCTTGGCGATGTTTCTAGCATTGTCAGAGGGAGTGTGGAGGTGTGTCTATGGCGGATCTTGTGGTATCCGGTCGGCGTTTGTCTTTGATGGGTCCGTTTGGATCTGGTCTTCATTAGTCTATGTGTCTGCAGGTTGGATCCTTCTGGTCTAGACGTCTCTTCATCGGCGGCGGTTGTTGTTCTGGTGCACGGGTCTTATGGGGCCTTAGCACGACGATTTTTCGACTATCTACTACAATAATGTTTGCCCGGCTCCGATGAGGGAGAAGCGATAACGGCGGCATTGCCTTTGGCTCGCTCCAGTGCTTATAGTTGTCGCTAGGTGGTCTACTGACCTGGATGTAATTCTTATTTTTGGTGCGCTTTGTACTACTTTGATAGTTGATAAATAGATTGGAAGTTTTCTCGTCAAAAAGAAAAGGAGAAAGCGAAGGGAAAGGCGAAAGATTTGCGGCTGGCGGCTGGCGGCTGCACGCGCACAGAGAACGGGAACAGCGGGAGGAAGCCACCGGAGTAAGCCAATCAGGCTGGCTTCTCGTCGAGTGTTTGCGTCCCAAGTTGATGGGTTCTTCTTTTTTGGTTCATGCAAGATACGTATACACATCCCTATACCCAGGCAGGAAAAAATGTTGGGTTCTGTTGAATGCAACGCTCCTAAGCTGGCTCCGCCCCATGTGTCAGACGTACTATAATTAGCCGATGTATCCCATTGGGAAAACAAAAAGATGGTGTCTGTACCAATCAAACTAGACAACAAAATTAACCCTTCCAACATGCTTCCTAGGCTCGCAGCCCTGATTGCCGTCTACACGTACATGTTTCCAACGACCACAATAGGAAGCCAAAGCCGCAAGACGATCAAAACAACGCCAAGACCAGAGACACAAGAAGCAAGAGGGCGAGGCAGGCTTCTTGCCGGGGCAGCTCTTGCCGGGGCAACTTGCCTAGCGCCAGTGGAGCGCGCCACCCTTGAGCCCAAGGGTTTCAACGCCATCGATCACATTGGAACCAAGACTCGGGAGGCACTTCCATGATGGCATGCAAATCTTCATGAAGATCTTAACCCTTCCTACTGCCTGCCACGCCCTAGTTCATGTGATTACTCTCCCTTCATCTTGGCCCCCTCCCACGGTTGTCGTCGACCCAGTCAGACCGAGAACGAAACAACTATGTCGCCAAGAGAGAGCACAGAAAGGCCTGAAGACACCACCATGACACGTCCTAGGACACCTAAACTCCATGACAATGTTCTTGGAAGGGACCCCCCTCCTCCTCCCGGGTCGCCCCCGCGCGGTGGCCGGGAGGAAACCCTAGCCCGCCGCCGCCGGGTTCCCTGGCCCTCCTCCCTCTCCTCCCTTGCCGTCGCCCTGGGCTCGGCCGGGCAAAGCCTGCCCGCAGCCGGCGGCGGCGTGGCGACCTCGATCTCTCGCAGGACGGGGCCGGCGCGGGGAGGTTTCCTCCGGCTTGGGCGCGGTGCGGGCGACGAGCGTCGCGGCGCGTCGGCGCGCTTCCGCCGTGGTGGGCGCCGCGGTGCATCACGCGGCATAGTGGCGGGTGGTGCACGCGAAGGTAGTAGCGGCGCGGCTGGTCTTCGGCCAGTTCTCACGGGCGTCATCTTTGACGGAGCGGGCCGTGGGCGGCGTGGCTCCGTCCTCTCGCTCGGCTTTGGTGCTCGCAGGGCTGGGTGGTGCTGCTGGTCACTGCGGGGCTAGCCGGGATCCGCCCGTGCCTGTGGTAGGCGCTCGACGCCGATGACTTGGTGGCGGTGGTGGTGGAGCGTGCCGGCCGGATCTGACGCTTTGTTCCGGCGGGCGGCGAGGGTTGTGGCATCGGCTCGCCAAGGCTGCTGATCCAGTTGTGGGCTGCGGCAACGAGGTGGCTCGGCCCTCTTTGGCGGCTTCTTTTCCGTGGTGGCATCACAGCAGTTCGGCGGGCCGGCTGCGGCGGGGGCTGGTTTTTCAGCTTCGGCTCGTTTGTAAGCGGTCCGTTTCGACTTGCGAGCCCTCTCCCTCGTTGTTTGGATGTTGCCTTCGTCGAAGGGCAGGTCCTCCCCCAGTTGCGATCCATCGCCCATCTCGCGCCCGGCAGCAGGACCGAGCCCATCTCGCACCCGGCAGCAGGACCGACCTCGTCTCGCGCCCGGCAGCAGGATCGACCCCATCCCGCGACCGGTGCCATTGGATGGGTCAATGGGGGCTAGTTTTGGCCGGAGGTCTCGCTGCTGGGGGCCACCCAGGGGTGCAAAAGGTGGGTCCTTTCCGCTCGTTTCTTCGGTTGGGGTAGCGGCAGGCCTCAGGTGAGGTGGTATCAAGGTCTTGGAGGCCGGGGCGGCGGCCCTGGTGGTGGCTCCGCGGTGCTCTTGGGCAGAGCCCGTGGATCGGTGCTGCCCAATGGCCGTGGCCGTGTGGGTGGCGTGGTCGCCGTGGGCGTGGCGTTCGGTGACGGTGAATGTTGGCCGGGGTGAAAACCTGCTCTATCCTTGGACGGACCGGCGGCGGCGTAGCTCATTCCCTTCTTGAAGGCGTCGTCGCGGCTCACATCAGCCATTGTGTTACTCCAGGGGAAACTCTGATCGTCAGGTCATGAGGTGGCGGCGCGTTGGTGTCGTAACCTTCTTGAAGGCGCCGCCTTGGAGCACAAGGTTCGTCATATGCGGCTTCATCTCTTCGCGGTGGCGTGTTCACGATGGAGAACTCCGCTTGTTCTATAGTGCTAGGGGTGGTGTTGCTGCACTCAGCACCTGTGTATCCTGCCTTGGGTGTGAGCATGTATTATGATGGGGTGCATTTGTACTTGGACTGTGGTTGATCGTTGCTTTATATATAAAGCGGGGCGAAAGTCTTTTCCGGTAAAACGGCGCTAAGCTCGCCGCTGCTGAGTCCCAAATGGACAAGGGTTTTCGCCTAAGGAAAAATACTTGGCAACAGTTAAACAGGTTTTCTCAAACTTAATTAGCACTACACTTTTTCGTACTGGCCCTCTCAGAATGATATTCTAATAAAGTCAACCAAGATAAGCTTATGGTCACCCTATGAGCCAACATGTGTACCAAAAACTCGCTTCAGACTGAGAACAAATTATTAGCTGCAACAGTTTCAGCTATCTGTGAGCTTATATGGTCTATACATTCTTCTCAGGCCCTTGAGCCTCATATGTTTTATTGGCCAGCTCAACCAACGATTTCAGTAGTTCTTTTTTTGAGGTCTTAATTTCATGAGCTTCGACCATATCTTTGTAGACTCTCAAACAAGAATCTTTATTCTTATGAACGTTATATATATATGCATGAGCCACCAACCTTGACACATCATCTTCTGAAACCTGAAAGAAGAATGATTTGGAGTGAGTGACAAGTTTGCTGAAAATGGGATAGCATGCAGCTGGGCACACTTCACAAAATAGTATGTACAGTTTTACCTCACAGGAGTCGCCAAATTCAGGCCACCATATCATCTTCAGAGCTGTTGCAATTTTCAGTAACGTCCAACCCTTGCAGTTGATGCCAGAAACATCCTTAATGAGGTCACCTGCACGGCGCAAGGCTCCAGAATATTTCTTCTCAACAGAATCACACTGAAACAACGCAGAAGCTGTCGCAACAATTTGCTCATCGACCTGGATACAAAGAAGATTGCTTCATCACTAAAGCAAGGATGCAAAGCATATATTTTTTTCTGTAGAAGTTGCATCCAAAACTTTGGTCCATGAAGATGAAGTATTCTAAATGTCAGCACACAAGCTATCATACAGTGCAACACCAAATGACAGGGAACTATGAAGCAAAAAAACATGGCAACTAGTTAACTCACCATATCTGTGTTGACATCACAGTCATAATGTTGCAATACATAGTGCAGTCCTAGACTCATCGGGAGACAGTCCGCTTCTGTCAGTTGTGATTTTTCTTGAGGCAGTAAACTTGGCATGCAATGCTGTATGCCCCACATTACCTCCATCACAGCTGTATTGTACAGGCAGTCTATATTCTGGAAGAAGTCACAGCAAAAATGGCAATCAAAGTTGTTCAAAAATATAGATAAACCAGGAGCTTATACTCACCAATCTCTCTTCAATAATTCTTTTGTATTCAAGCTTTCCAACAGCAATTTTCTGCTCAGGGAAGCGACAGTTCGTGATCATCTCAGTAAGCCTTTTGCTGACACCAGTACTTTTATTAATGGCCTTGGACTTGTCCTTAAAAGTTCGAAACTCTTCCAGGAAAACAGCCTGATGAAGAAATAACAAGTATGAACATGTTCACGTGCAAAAAGAAACAATTAATCAAGTATCATGTCATGTCTCTCAATTAGGAGAGGGAGCTGACCGACGAAAAAGGGTTCCCCGCTTTATATATAAAGCAACCATCATCACAACATTCGAGCAAGAAGATACAAACGCACTGCACCACCACACTCAACGCACACACTGATACACCCAAGGCAAGATACAAACGTGTCGGGCACCGAAAGCACCACCCCAATGACGACCAAGCACCCTAATGATAAGCAAAGAATAACCGCTTGGGCCGACGGTGACCACCTCCAAGAAGAGATCCACCAAGGAGCGGTGAGGCGGACAAGGCCGGAGCAAGGACTCTACGACGATGCCTTCAAAAGGGATACGACCACAGGTAGTCATCACCGTCAGATCCCGAAGATCAAGTTTTCACCTGGAGTGACACGGAAGAAGTGGGAGCACCATGACGGAGCCTGCAAGGAGGAGAACGAGGTCCACGGACGCCGCCTCCGTCGGCCAGTACCGGGACTGGGCAAGTGGTGAACCCCGGTGTTCCTACCCCTCCGTCGCAACCCTGCTCCGCCAACCACCCGCATCCATCCCGCCCAAGAGACCATGGCTGCCCGCCCGCAACCGAGCCGCGCGGTCAGCCCAGAACCAACGCGCCTCCCACCGCCAGAGCCGCCACCCTGCATCCAGACCGCCCCGAGAACCTCCAAAGGCCGTGACTTTGAACAAATCTGCACCCCAACCACCTCTGGGACTGCCAGCAAACCACCTGCCTCGAGCAACGCCGAAATGGAGAACAACAAAACGAGGATGAGGAAGGGGGAGGAGCATCCCACGAGCACGACCAGAGATAACCTCCAGGAAGCTCAACCGTAGCCCCTGTCCCTCCAACAGGCCCCCTCCCCCCCTCCCCCGAACAACATGCTTCGCCCCACCCTGCCGCTGTTCCGGACCCGCGCAAGAACACTGGCATCAGCCCATCGCCAGAGAGGAGGAAGCAGAGCCCTCGCCGCCGTTGCCATGGAGGCCACCAGTGGGGTCTCCCGCACCGTGCGTCGCCGACC